TGATTTCTCCTTCCTCATTCCCTCTGGCTCTTCGTATTTTGTTACTACCATGCCTCTGTAAGTAGGGTCTTTCCTCCACACACACACCCATAGATCAACAAAAACAATCCTAGTGTTAGTGGGACCGAGAGTCATGAAGCAGTCCATAGGAAAATGGTGGAGCCTAACTGAATATCAGAATAAAATTGTATGGGAACCTGGTCCAGGGAACTAAGAGGCACTGAAGGGTAAGATGGTAGGGGATGAAACCCATGTTATAGCATCATTTGTGACTTTATAGCCTGGAAATGAGAAAAAATAAATGTGGTAAAGAAAGGTCCAGTGACAAAAAAAGAGTAAAATAGACAGTAGAGGTCCCTGGAAGAGAAGAATCTGGAATAACCAAGCCCATGTATTTTTCCCATGAAAGCCATCCTTGGGTGGCTCATTCTCTAAGCTGAGAAGCTTGCTGGATTCATTTATGAACATACTCTAAGTTAAATAAAGCATTAATAAAGGGAGTTCAGGAAGTAACACAGTGGGTAGAACATTTACCTCACTTTAATGAACTCCCAAATTTGATCACCAGCATTGAAAGTTCAAAAAGCACACAAAAAGGGACAAATGCTGTATTATCCCACATATATGAGATAGCTAAAGTAGCCAAATTCATTTAGACAGAAAGTAGTATAGACTATTTATTAAAGGGAGTATCAATTTGGGAGTATGAAAATTTTCTGTGGCTTGATAATGAAGACTGTTGTATAACAATATGAATGTGCTTAATGCCCTTAATTTGTATTTATGTAACTTTCCATTTAAAACTAATAAAACAACATTACTATAATGCATATATCAATTTTAAAAACATAACAAGGGAAAGGAGGACTATGAGTGAGATTGACGACAAAGATGAAGAATTGATAATTATTGACAGAATTGAATTAATACAGCTGACAGGTTTACATTTCTTTCCTGGTCCTGGACTTCCAAGAGTTTATTAGTTCGGTATACATGGGATGATGGTAACAAAGAAAGCTGATTCCATGTGAGGTACCTACCAGTTCTTCATTATCTCAGAAGATTATGGCGTAAGACAGTATTAGAGTCTCTTTTTGATAGTGCTCCTATTCTACATCTGTGGGTGTGTTTGTAATGATTGCTTAGCTGAGTTTGATTTTTCTCAAAAACCACTGTTGGAAAATAATGTATCTAAGTCTAAGTCACCATTCTCTTTTTCTGGAGAGGAGAGATACATGCCCCTGAATTAAACATGAGAATATGGTAAATAGGTAATCACACAGAAAGAAATTTATCTGACTGTTAAATTATCTAATCTTGGTAGCCATCTAAATCCCTTCAGTTAGTCAATGGTTAAAAAAATTTATAATGTCCCAGGGTTATCAGCCACATACTCTTGATCACTGGCATCTCCATTATTCAGAACAACCATGCCATTTTGATCACTCATGTTTTCAGAGAGAAATCCACTCTCTAAACCCTGATCTATGCCTAAAATCACAGCATATCTTAGTGCAGGTTCAACAATGCCACCAGAAGCAAAAAAAAAAAAATCATATCAAGAACGTTATAAACATGATAAGGTGAGAGAGCACACAAAAGAGGTATGAGAATAGGTAAGAAACACAAAAAACATGATAGTATTTGATGTCTTCAATGCAAAGAAACTAATGCAGATACTTTAAAGTGACAGAAGCCAATAGGAGAAGGGGATCAGGAACTAGAGAAAAGATCTGTTCGAGAAGAATCGATTTAGAATGTAACACATTTGTACATGGAAGTAATGCTAGGAATCTCCCTGTATAGCTATCCTTATCTCAACTAGCAAAAATGCTTTGTCCTTCTTATTATTGCTTATACTCTCTCTTCAACAAAATTAGAGATAAGAGCAGAACAGTTTCTGCCTGGAAGTCAGGGGGTGGAGGGGGAAGGGGGGGAATGGTGGGAGAGGGGGTAGGGGGGAGAAATGACCCAAACATTGTATGCACATATGAATAAATGAAAAAAACTTTATAAAATTATATCACTTAAGTATTATTCTAAACTATGGCTACAACCCATTTTTAACCCCATCTAAACTATATTTCTAAACTAGCCACTAATGATGTTGGTGGGTGCCAACTGGGAATAAGAGGAAAGACCTTGACTGTTACCTGGACAAATATTACATCAGAGCCAATTACAATCCTCTGCATACTTGAGAGATGAAAGCACTTCCAAACCCTGAACTCTCTGAAACTCTAAACATTTCTCTGGAGTAAGCAAAGGAAGACTCAGAAAAGGGTTTTTGAGCAAAGAACAGAGTGGCACCGTGTGCCAACAAGAGGAACATTTGTTTGGAAGACTCTACTCTTGAGTTTAATGTGTTTCTTGTGAAATAGAGCTGAAAGGATACTTAAGTTAAGAATTAAAGGAACAGTCTCTACATTATTTATTGGCTCATTAGAAACAGAAATTTGGCCAAATTCATTGAGAAACAATGACCAACCAAATAGATTTAATACACTTAAATATTTTAAAGTTAAATGTTATAGTTTTTTCTCCTCTTTAGATAATTTACCTTTAGTCCCATTGTTTTCAACTTGGAAATTAATATAGGTCAGAGGAATCTGAAAATTTTTTTGCATCTTCATTTATGCTTTCATAGAAAATCAGTAAAGTGGGTAGGAATTAAGTCATAGATCTATCAAAGTTTCCTCACTGAAACAGCTCATTTTCTGAGAGTATCCAGACTGACAATAGGAATCAAATAAACTGAAATTTCAAAATTAGATTTTCCAGAGAAACAATGATTCCAATGTCCTTCCTGTTAGCTTATGGAGTCCATTGAGAGTTGTGTTGCATATGTCTACAGGGGAAGAAAGCCATGACTGCACTCAAACTAAGAAAAGAAGAATCCATAGTCCACCATACTCAGGTCAGTAAAAACTGAACATTTTTTCCAAAATTTTCAACAGATAAACTTGAATAGTCAATTTATTTTCACTGATGCAGTTTTTGTAGTTATACATTTAATTCAAAGTTTAATATTTTAATAAGAAAATGAATTTAGACACAATAACATGAAAAATAACAAAAGAAAACAATATCTGCATTTTAACAACCAGATGTTATTAAAATGACTGTTGGAGTCACTTTCAAAACATTGTGGATAATATTTATGTCTCAATGAATACACTGGCTCTGTACAGTTCTGTTTATCATGTCTCAAAAATTTCTCCTTTAATGATTTCCATGTTGCCATTTTGAAATTAGAATTTGTGAATTAAATCCATTGTGGATGATTAACCACATGGTCACCATTTACAACAGATAAGAATAGGAAAAAACTCAAGAAATGAGTATTTGTGAAAACCTAAGTTATTATGCTAACTTTCATTGAAGCTGAGAGATAATAATGCTGACTTTTTGTCCAGAAATTTTGTTTGGAAAATCATGTAGTTATGTTTTTTGTCAGGGGTTGGGGAAAAGAGAAAAAAAGGCAGAAAATGAACAAAATACCTGATGTTCTTTTGTATCAAAAACATGGTCTCATTTCTAAAAACCCAAATCTAGATCACCCAAAAAAAGTAATATTTTTATGTATTTTCAATATTTATATCAGATAGCAATGAAAACTACAAGTTCATTTTAATTTGATTGAATTTTAGCCAAAAGGGAAATTTTTATCATCTTAGCTGACCCTAATATTTTCAATAGGAAATTCAGGGTAACTTCATATCTCATTCCATTCCACATGTAAGACATGAGCTAGGAAATTGCCCTAATCTAGGGCATAATTTTGTGTGTGATCAAAGCTCAACTGTAAGGAAATTTTGTTTAGGAAATATCTTGAACTTTTATAGAACTTTGTACTATTTACATAGTCTTATAATATATGGAAAGAAGAAGCATAAGCCTGGCACCAGTGGTTCATGCTTGTAGACCTAGCTACTCAAGAGGCAGAGATCAGGAAGATCACAGTTCAAAAAGTCAGCCCAGGCAAATAGTTCACAAGACCTTATCTTGAAAAAAGTCTATCACAACAAAAGACTGATGGTGTGACTCAAGGTGTAGGCCCTGAGTTCAAACCCTGATATTGCAAAAAAAAAAAAAGAAGAAGAAGAAGAAGAAGGAAGGAGGAGGAGGAGGAGGAGAAGGAGAAGAAGAAGAAGAAGAAGAAGAAGAAGAAGAAGAAGAAGAAGAAGAAGAAGAAGAAGAAGAAGAAGAAGAAGAAGAAGAAGAAGAAGAAAAAGAAAGAAAGAAAGAAAGAAAGAAAGAAAGAAAGAAAGAAAGAAGGAGGAGAAGGAGAAAGTAGAAGAGGAGGAGGGGGAGAAGAAGAAGGAGAAAAAGAGGAAGAGGAAGAAGAAGAAGAAAGAAGAAAGTAAGCAAAGAAAGGGTCATGGAAGCCAGAAACCACATCTAGGGCACTTAAACAAATTTTGCCCAATGCACTATAATAATGATAGTTCCCTGGCATTCAAAAAGGAAAAAATGCCATCTGCAGCTCAATCTTTATTTCTTGTATCATTCACATTCATATGATAGAAAGAACTCATCGGTCACAAAACACAGCTGGTTTAGATTCACAACACATTTGACTCTGAAAGAGTGTGTGTTCATATACCTAAATATCCGCGGAAATAGACATACCATCAAAGTCACTGCTATTGATGATATTTGACCCCTACCCAACAATACAAGTGGCCATCTTTGAGATATTTTTAGAATGAGAAAAAGTTTGAGTGCAACCATAAGTCAGTGTTCATAATAACACCTAGCTTTATTATATTGCATGTAAAGAATTGCCACTATTCCATTAAAATGAATTAAGAGTATACTCTTTCTGGTCACCTTTAATACTATCTTAAAAAGGCAGAGGTAAGTAAAAGAGTGACTATCAATTTCAGACACCAGGACTAATGAGGTGATGAAATATTTTAGTATTCAATGTAACATAACATCACTCAGAAATGCTATGACTTTTCAGATGGAAACACGCCACAACTGAGGCAAAATTCATGGTAACAATGAGGAATGTGACAGAATTCATCCTGCTGGGACTGACCCAGGGTCCAGAACTCCAGAAGTTCTTATTTATTGTGTGTTTCATGACCTACTTGATCACACTGACAGGTAACACGTTCATCTCAGTCACCATCTTCATCAGCCCAAACCTGGGTTCTCCCATGTACTTGTTTCTATCCTATTTGTCCATTATAGATGGTCTCTACTCTTCCTCCATTGCACCCAAAATGATCGTTGACTTGGTCTCAGAAAAGAGCACCATATCCTTCAATGGCTGCATGACTCAGCTCTTTGCTGAGCATTTTTTTGCTGCAGCAGAGATCATCTTGTTAATGGCCATGGCCTTTGACCGCTATGTGGCCATCTGCAAGCCCTTGCACTACATGACCATCATGAGCCCATCTGTGTGCCATTTCCTGGTGGGGGCAGCTGGAATCTTGGGGTTTATACATGGGGGGATACAGGTTTTGTTTATGGCCCAGTTACCATTCTGTGGCCCCAATGTCATTGACCACTTTCTCTGTGATTTAATACCACTCCTGGAGTTGGCCTGCACTGACACTCACACTTTGGGGCCTCTGATTGCTGCCAACAGTGGATCACTGTGTTTGCTCATTTTTTCTATGCTGGTTGCTTCCTATGTCACCATCCTGTGCTCCCTGAGGAATCACAGTTCTGAAGGGCGTCGCAAAGCCCTGTCTACCTGTGCCTCTCATGTCACTGTTGTCATCTTATTCTTTGTACCTTGTACATATCTGTACTTAATACCCATGATCTCCTTCCCCACAGACAAAGCTATGGCTGTGTTTTACACCCTAGTAACACCCATGTTGAATCCTTTAATCTACACCCTCAAAAATGAGGAAGTGAAAAAGTGTATCAAGAAACTCTGGAGTCAATAAAGAAAAATGATAATAAATAAATGTGAATTGTGTATTTAGGCAAAGATATCTAGTGATATTTAAAAGAGATTTATACTCCCTCTTTAAAGATTAAAATTGGGATAGTCAATTATCCTGTCTGTACCAAATTTTTAATTGACAAATAAGTGCAACTATAGAGTACAGTGTGAAAATGCATGTAGACTGTGTGTATGATCACATCAGGGTAATAAACATTTCCATCTCCTTAAATATCTATCATTTTTGTGTCAGGAATCCTTGAATTTCTCTCTTCTAGTTCTTTATCAAACATATAATAAATTGTTGTGAACTATACTCACCCTATTGTCCTATAGGACATTAGAATTTATTCTTCCTATGTAACTGCATTTTTTTAATCATTATCCAGCCTCCCTCTATTCCTCCTCCACACATCTTTCCTAGACTCTGGTGACCGCTATTGTATTTTCAACTACTATGAGATCAAAATTTTGTCCACATATGACTGAAAACATACAGTATTTGTCATTCTGTGCCTGACTTATTTCCCTTTTGTGATGTCTTCCATTGCCACCTTTGATTTCATCAATAATTGGATTCTATACATTTTATGGGAAAATATTCCATTGGATATACATAAAATAATTTGTGAATCCTTTCATCTGTTGATGGATACATCAATTTTTATTAGGTACACAGTTGTTAAAACACAGTATGAATGGTGCCAAAAGCCCATTTTGTCTCCAGCGCTAATTACAACGATACATGTAAGCCAGTTGCTTCCCCTTTCTACCTGAGTCTTCCTTAAATAGTATCAAAGTATTGAAATCAAAACTGTGTGTCAGTTGCAAAATAGAGAAAGCTGCTCAAACACTGAACATACTTCAGGGATGTCACCAGAGGATAAGGGATAAAGGGGGCTGCAGATTCTATAAAGGAGTCAAGGGACACAACATTTTTTTCATTTTTATTAGCATATTTTCATTTCATAGAGGTGATTCATTATGCCAATTCTCATAAGTCTTACATTGTACATTGGTTAGATTGCCCCCTTCATCTACCCCCACCCCCGCCATCTCCACCCTGCTCCACTTAAAGCAATCACAAGAGGTTTCTTTGTTCTGTTTCACATATATATATACGAAGCCCATAAACTATATTCCCTTTCCTTGATCTCCTTCATTCACCATCCCCACTCCCACAATTACACTTACACACACTCTTCCTATTTTGCCTTTCTGTCTTTAATTTTTAATTCCAAAGTCAGTGTTAAAAGTGGTTCCTTGATATATCCTAGCTGTGAATATACTAAGCTTTGATCAGTTCAACCCCCTCTGTTACTCTTTCTTACCCCTTTCCTCCCACCCCCATTATTCAACAGCTTTCAGTACATACTATGTACTCTACTTGCAGAGATGTAATGCATTTCAACATTGTTGACTCTCTATCACTCTTTTCCTTTCTTTCATCCCTTGAGTATCATAGAGTAGTTCCACTATTACAAAGATGTTCTACATATAAATGTGTATATTACCAGGTTTTTTGTGTGTATACATTTATCTTTTGGATCTATCTTCCACATATGAGAGAAAATATTTAGCTTTCATTTTTCTGAACCTGGATTATCTAACCAGGTTCGGAACATGATATCTTCCAATTCCATCCATTTACCTTCAAACCCCATGTCATTATTCCATCATGTATATGAAAATCAACCTTAAAGTTCATATGGAAGCACAAAAGACTGAAAATAGCCAAGGCAATACTGTGACAGAAATTTTCTTCTTTTTTCTTTATTTTACTTTAATCAACAAAACTGTATATATTTATAACGCACTGCATGATGTTTTGGAATATGTATACATTGTGGATTGTCTAAATCAAGGTAATTAGTATATGCTTTCTCTCATGTAATTAACATTTTTAATGAAAAGTACCCTTAAAATATAATTTGCTAAAATTTGCTTTTAAATTATTTAGCTAAAATTGGGCTTAAAAGAATTCAAATCTAAGCTGGTCTAATTCAAAGCCTTTGAACTTTACCAAACCCCTTATTGCTTCCCCTGGATATAAATAAAGAAGCTAATTTCTTACAGTTAACTAAAATTTCTTATACTTTCTTTGGAATTCTCTTTTTGAAATCTCTTAGACTTTAGTTATGTAACACATTAGTAAGTAGACTTCCTATGACAGACAGGCCAGGCTAAAAATGCCAACTCTACAAAGAACCAGATAGTGACTTATCAGTAATTTATAACTCCTTCATTTTTGTTTTATTTTATTTTATCATTTTTACATTTACTTACATGTGTATACATTATTTGAGCCACTTCTCCCTCCTTGTCCCCTGCCCACACCTCAGGCCAGAACCTGTTCCACCTTCTTGTTCTCTGATTTTGTTGAAGAAAAAACATAAAAGATAATAAGAAAAACATGGCAGTTTTGCAAGTTTGAGATAATGGTAGCTATATAGAGAGATTCCTAGCATTGTTTCCATGTACATATGTATTGCAACCCACATTGGTTCATCTCTGCCAGAACTTTTCACTTCTTCCTGATCCCCTTCCCACAGTGGCCTCTGCCAGTTTAAGATTACTGTATTCACTCTTATACAGTGAGCACATCAACCACATTCAAGATTTTGGTTTCCTTCCCTTTCCTTATTCCTCCCGTGTCTGTTCTCTCCTTACTGTGTGACCCATGTCCAATAGTATTACTGCATTTGTTTTAAGTCTATAATTTGTATATGAGGGACAACATGCTATACTTGGCCTTCTGAGCCTGACTCACTTAAGATGATGTTCTCTAGTTCCATCCATTTACCTGCGAATGACAAAATTTCATTCTTCTTTATGGCCAAACAAAATTCCACCGTGTATGAATACCACAATTTCTTAATCTATTCATCGGTAGAGGGGCATCTGGTTGTTTCCACAGAATAAGGTGGGTCTCTTGTAAACAACAGATTGTTGGATCTTCCCTTTTAATCCAGTTTGCCAAATGTTGTCTTTTGATGGGGGAACTGAGTCCATTGATATTCAGTGTTAATATTGATAAGTATATCACAAATCCTGTCATTTACTTGTTTTTGTTGTTTAAGGATTTGAGCATGTGCAGCTGAATCAGTGCTACTCTCTGATTCCTTGTCTTTTCTTCTCCTGTAGTTTAATACTTCCTGTCTTCATGGTTTTGTTTGCTTTCATCTTCTGTGTGCAGAATTCTTCTGTAGTGGTGGCTTAGTGGTTATATATTGTTTTAGTTTCTGCTTATTGTAGAAGACTTTTGTTCCTCCATCAATTTTGAATGATAGTTTTGCTGGGTAGAGTATCCTAGGGATGAAATTATTCTCATTCAGTGCTCAGAATACCTCACTCCATGCCCTTCTTGCTTTTAAGGTTTCTGTTAAGAAATTTGTTGTTATTTTGATGGGTTTACCTTTATATGTTATTTGTTTTTTCTTTCTTACAGAGTCAATATTCTTTCTCTGTTCTCTGTGCTAGTTGTTTTAATGATAATATGCTGTGGAGAAGTTTTATTTTGGTCAAGTCTGTTTGGTGTCTGGGAGGCTTCCTGAACTTGAATGGATAAATCTTTCTCAAGATTTGGGAAATTTTCTGTTATTATTTTATTAAATATATTATGTATACCTTTGTCTTATACCTCTTCTCTTTCTTCAATGCCCATGATTCTTAGGTTTTGTCTTTTGACGGAGTCGTTGAGTTCTTGCATATTCTTTTCACAGCTCTTGAGTTGTTTGACTAAGAGTTCTTCTGGTTTGTTTTTTTTTAATTTGTATTTTATCTTTGAGCTCTGAGATTCTGTCTTCCATTTGTTCTAGTCTGCTAGAGTGGCCTTTCACTGTGGTTTTTGTTTGACTAAAGGGACTTTTTATTTCCAGGGTTTCTGTTTGATTCTTTTATCTGAGGTTGCTCTACATTGTTGCCCTACAACTTCCAAAGCAAGGTGGGGAAGTTCAGTTTTAAGTAACACCCTCAGTCATATGAGACTAGCTCAATGATCCACTAAGGCCCTGCTTTGGAAGGTTGGCTTGTTGCCCCATCCCTGCTCTCAGCCTTTGTTACTTTTCCCACCTTCATTCCCTGAGTTCAGCTCCTTCCCCACCCCTGTTCTCTGGGGCAGGTTCAGTGCTCCACTCCATCCCTGCTGTTGGTGTTATATTACAATTCACTGTTTATGCTTTTCAGTTTTTTTGGGGGGGTTCAATCTGCTCAGGGGCTGCACCAGATTATGTTCCCAGGGGGTGGGTAGGGGAGTCGTGTGTCATGCATGTTGGGTCTGCAGGTTTGCAGGGCAGCTTCGAAACTGGCCATTAGGGAGAAATGGCATGCTGCTTTTCTTAAGGCAGACATTTACTGGGACTGGGTTAAGTGCAGTGGGGCATAGGGAGGCTTTCCATGAGTTAGGTGTCCAGGATATTGCAGAGTTTGATTCTGTTTGATGGTCTACCTTCTGTTTATGGAAAGAGCAAAAAACAGAGAAATGGTCAGGGGGCTTTTTCCCAGGGCAGACATGCCCTGTTGGCTGTGCCACACTAGGATTTTCCCAGCTGCCAGGTTCAATTAAAGGCTGTTTAAAGTGTCCGTCTTTGAATTTTATGTGCACCTAATGTGCTGACAGTTATTATTTTGGCTAGAAGCAATCAGAATTGTTCAAGTGTAGCTCCCACATCTCTAGGTGCTTTCTGGAGTCACAGAGCTCAGGAATTCTGATTCCTTACACTAACTGCCATCTTAGAAAATCTCTCTCACCATTTTGACTCTCACATAACAAGAACTTCATTGAAATTAATTATTTCTTTCTCTGCCTGCACCAGGTTATCTGTAAAGTAACATCCTATCACTTTAGAGTGTTGCATTCCTCTGATAAGCAAAAACAAAAGAAAAAATATTACCTATATATAAGTATGTACTCATCCCAATGTCCATTTAAAAAAGTCAGTCTAGACCCACCACTTTGCATATTTGTATGATAGAGGTAGGTGAGTATGGACACCTTGTTGAAAA